AAAAAAAAAAAAAAAAGGCATTGAAAAACAGCAGATGCAAGAAGGTTATTTTGAGCTTCCTTTTTCTTCCCAAAAGCAGTAGGTAAAACTTCCATGTGAAAGTTGCCCTCCCTGTACCATCAAAAAGGAAAACATTCTTATAACCAAAGATGGGTAAGTAATAAAGGCTGAGAGAAACCTGTACAAACAAACCTTGTTTAACCCTTATCTTTCCAGTCACTTTTCCACAATTAATTGCACCCTCGCAACTTCTTTGTCTTGTCACATTTTCAAAATTTAATACTCTTTGTCCAACCTACTATATAAATGTTAAGCTCTAACTGCTTCTTTCAGTGATCATTTTTTTTTTGTGAGGGCTCCCATGTGCATGTAGAAATTACTGAATAATATTTGTATGCTTTTCTCTAGTTAATCTGTTTTATGTCTGTCTCAGCTAGAGGCTTTAAGAGAGTGGAGAAGAAATGTGACCTTCCCTATAAGTACTTGACAGTGAAACTTTAAAAACACACAATAAAAAAATGTGGCTGTTCATTTTCATGCATGCAGAATCCAGGCACACCCAGTCCAGGAAGATTTGGTGCACTGCAATATATGTAACCTTGTACTTAGAGTTCTAGGCCGGTATGGAATGGATGAAGACCTTGAATGTAAAGTTATTTTACATGTCCAAAGTGAAAACACTACAAAAAGCAGCTATTTCAGAGAAAAACAGAAAATTGTATTCTGGGTCACGTAACGTCATCCTTTACAAGGCTCTTTACCACGTTAAGGTCACCTAAAGATAAACCAGGGGCTGCTTTTCAGTGAGACCAAGGTTGCCTTCTCTTCCTCACTCCACACATTCCCTGACTCTTCTCCCTTCCCCTCTAAGCATCCACACTGACCTCCTCACTTAAGACGATGACTATGTAGAAGGTAACAGATTGTTCTCAAATGTCAGCTGCCAAGGGCTTAGAGCCTGCTGACTTTCACTGAGGGCTTAAGAAGGGATTCCAAGTTTTTGTTCTTGTCTGAGAAAGGAGGCTAAACTGATTTAAGTTTTCAGTTTCTTTAAAAACAAGTCTTACATTTAGACAAACACAAATTACTCAAGTTCTTTGATGAATCCTTCCCTATCCCTCTTCCTTTTATCATAGAGAAGAAGGTTGAGTGAGAGAGGAATTTGGATTATGAATTTTTCTTAATTTTTTGAATTAAGTGTAATTATAGATTAACTAAAATAGAGGGTCAGCTGATTGTTCTTGAGAATCATAAATATATGTTTTGAGGGTCAGAGAGTATAAAACATTTTATAAACCTCCCAAAAAGCTTGTCATCTTAAGATGTCTTTAAAAGAGAAACTTGTTTGTTCTTTAATTCAAAAAATACTTATCTTTACTATCCTATCCAAGATTAATATTTTATTACTCTGTGAATTTATTCGAATAGTAAGTTACAGTGTTGGTTTGTACAGATCTTCTGTACTGTTTGTAGATGCAGTTGAGACCAAGGATTAGTGTTGATTGCCATCTAAGTACATCTTTTATCCTTTTAAAATTGCAATAAAAATAATCTCTCCCCTCCCAGGTTGGCTGCTATATTGACTCAGTGGTCTTTCTGGCATTAACCTATGATATAACAAGTAGAATTGTTGCTGACTCCAGCAGCTCTAGTTGTTCTAGAGTAGTTCCCATCAGCATTTCTTATATAATCCTCTGCTCAGGAAATAGCATTTTCCAAAAAATCGCATGTTTTAAAATTTAAAGATATAGCTGGAAAGGCTTTTTAATGCTAAAGTTTTATTTTTTGACATTGAATATTGTAAATATTTATCAACATTTAAACACTTAAAATGCAGTATGAGAAAAATCATTTTAAGAATTAGGCCTTTTTACCTGCACTCATGTTTATCACAGCATTATTCTCAATAGCAAATAAGTGAAATCTGCCTAGGTGCCCACTAATGGTTAATTGGATAAAGAAAATATGGTGTATATATATGCCATGAAATACTATGAAGCCATAAAAAAGAATGAAATTATTTTCCTTGCAGCAACATGGATGCAGATGGAAGCCATTATCCTAAGTTAATTAATGCAGAAACAGAAAACCAAATACCACATGTTCTTACTTACAAGTAGGAGCTAAATATCAAATACATACAGACATAAAGATGGGAACAATAAACACTGGGGACTCTAAAAGAGGGGAGGGAGGGAGAGGAGCAAGGGTTGAAAAACTACCTGTTGGTACTATGCTCACTTTTGGGGTGATAGGTTCAGTAGAAACCCAATCCTTGGCATCACACAATATACCCATGTAACAAACCTGCACATGTACCCCTGGATAAGAAAGAAAGAAAGAAAGAGAGAGAGAGAGAGAGGAGAGAAAGAGAGAAAGAGAAAGAGAGGGAGGAAGGAAGGAAAGAAAGAAAGAAAAGAAAGAAAGGGAGGAAGGAAGGAGAAAGAAAGAAGAAAAATAGGTCGTTTGAGGCTACGTGTATATAAACAGTGGTAAATGACGTTTACATCATTGTAATTGCAGAGAACAATTTGCCATGATAAAAACAGTATTAACTTTTTTCTTCATATTGTATGAAACAACTTTATAGTTTTCTATCTATTGCTTTATTCATTTCTCCCTTCCTTCCTTCCTTCCTTCCTTCCTTCCTTCCTTCCTTCTTTCCTTCCTTCCTTCCTTCCTTCTTTCTTTCTTTTCTTTCTTTTCTTTCTTTTTTGTCATGTTCCTTAACTCCATACAGCGACAGCAGAATGGCACAAGTCAGCTGTGCAGCAGAGAGCCAGGAATTCTTTTGCACTACAGCGTAACCAAGAATGGGGAATATTCCCATCCACAGGTTTAAATATAGTGCTGTCGTTTCCCTTTCTAGGTGAACATGTCAAACCTTTTACACCAGAGAAAGCAAAAGAAATTATCATGTCTTTACAACAACCTGCCATCTTCTGTAACATGGTGTTTGATTGGCCAGCACGACACTGGAATGCTAAATACCTTTCTGAGGTCCTTCATGGCAAGCGGATACGATTCAGAATGGGGATGAAAAGCATCAGCACAGGTAGGACTATAGGTAATCACCATCATAAGGTCTCTTCGGGAGCATCCCTACATTCTCAGCAGCAGCCTCCTTATTTCTAGAGAATCCTTTCTAATCCTTTTTTTGACCATTCACTGTATAGATAGGAAAATTTTATTGGGAGGCTTGGAAAAACAGTTTGGCTTAAGTGAACAATTTGGCTTAATTGTTTTTCATTTTGTTTGGTTTTAAGACAAAACAGCCTATAGTTTATAACCCTATACAAAATGTATTTTTTCATGTATCTTATATGTACATTGCTAGACATTATTGTGGTTCATTAAATGTTAGACACTTAATAAATAAATATTTGTTACTGTGCTCTTATTTATGTTCCTATTAGACCAATACTAATCTAAAAGTCCCATCTACTTTTTACTCATGTAGAATGTGTCCTTTTATTTGTGGCTTCAGGCACTATTTATAGTTGTATAATTACTTGGTTGTAATATTATCCCTCTGCCTTGTTGACTGTCTGACCGGTTTTGCATTGCACAAACATGAAACATATGTAAAGTTTGCTCTTTTATTCTCTTAAGCAAATAAATTTTGTCTCTTCTTTTCTGAAGACATAATATTTTGATTTGTTTGCCCTATTGTCAGGTAAAGCAATTAACAGTAACTCTAAAATTTAGTTAATTTGCCACTAACTCTAAAACTACTGTTTCTAATCTAAGAGAGTCTATAATCATTTTCTTGTATTTAACTTGTATTTCAATATGGTTGTTTGGTAGTCTAGAATTTCAGTTTTTTAAGCATTGAGGTAAAGTGGCGTATTAATAGCTATTAATAGCTCAGGAAAACTAGAAAAGTCCCCAGCTTCCCTTCCTGCAGCTCCAAGTTGCCTTCTCTCATTTTGATCTTGTAGTATAGCTCACAGAATTATTTAGTTTCTGGTGTCTGGAACCCCTTTGTACTCCTGTGACAGATGTAGCATGTAGAATATACTTGGAACTCCTTGTCAACTCATTGTAATCAGAGACCAAACTGTTTAAAATTCAATCTTAGACCAGCAGCAATAATGTAAAAATCAAATTGTTCCTTTTCCTTTTTTACTTTAGTCAAAGAAATCTGCCTCTCATTTAAGTGTCTGTTAGACACTAATTTGGAGAAAAATAGAAATCGTAATTTTTTCACATTCTGGTTAGTCTCCAAATACAGTACTACTAATAGCTAACATTTATTTAAAGCTTTTGTTTCAGGCACTGTAGTGAATACTTTACACATACAATATTAGCTTTCTTAATCTTCCTGAAACCTTAGGACAGTGATGCTATTATCCTATCTTATAGATGAGACACAGTAATTTGACATTTTCAAGTTAATACTTAAGCACACACAAGAAAGGAAAATAACTCTCTGAGGTTGTGAGAAACAACTCTGAGCTTTTAGTAAAGATAATGTTCTTTTTCATTAAATAAAATCCATATAACATAAAATTTAGCATTTCAGCCATTTAAAATTCATTGGTTGTTAGTATATTCACAATATTATACAACCATCACCACTGTCTAATTCTAGAATATTATTATTATCCTATAAAGAAGCCCAGTACCCCATAAGCCATCATTTTCCATTCTGCCTTACCCCAGGCCCTGGCAATCACTGATTTACTTTCTGTCTCTATGAATTTGACTATTTAGGATATATCATATGAGTGGAATCATTCAGTATTGGCCCTTTTGTGCCTGGCTTCTTTCATTTAGTGTTTTCAAGGTTCATCCGTGTTGTAATATGTATCAATACTTCTTTTTTTTTTTTTTTTTTT